AAAGGAGGACCCACAAGACTATTCAAAGCTGTGTGTATGTTTTTTTTTTTCATAGATGAGCAGAAAATGTCAGATATAAGCTGTGGCTAATACTGGAGCAGAGACATCAGTTAATGAATCTTGGTAATTAATCCAGCCTTGAAGCACTGTCAGATTGGAGAAGTATTGTAAGGACAACTGGAGCACTGGAAAGGGGAGAATTTGGACTTTGGTGTCTCTTTCGGGAATTCACAAGAAAGTAAACTATTTCTCATTTTTATAGAAACAGAGAGCGAGCTAAGGCTATTTAATGTTTTAACTTTTACAAGACCCAGAGCTGCTTTTGGTTTGTCTGTACAGAGTCCTCTGAGCTCTCTCCACTGTGCACACGACTTTGGTGTATAAACTAGTTTGAGGTAATTGCAGACTTAATAAACTTAACAAAGTTTTATTCTTCTATTACAATAAAGATCCACTAACTTTTTAGTTAAAAGTTTTCTATTTTGTTTGTTTTTTTTGCACTGAAAAAAGTCCTCACTGTGAGCAGGTCTGCATTCACTAACTTGTTTTTTTATTTTTATGGAGTCATGTGGTGATGTGCCACCTCTAGAAAATTGCACACCATTACATTCACTTAATTTACATCCAGATATATATTTGTCATTCTGCTTATAAGGGCTTTAAAACACAACTATTTCATTGATTCATTTCTAAGGGTCTAAGGACAGTTGACGTTCCAGGACATTTATGACCATAATTAACTCATGACTCCTATGTGCATTATTTCTGCATTTGCATGTTATTATTTTCTAATCTGTTATGCATATTAACTAGAGCATTGTCCTTTGAGCCCGAAGGTTGTGGGTTTGAGCCCACCATGAGACCTTCTCCACCGACTCCCACTGTCGTTGTGTCCTTGGGCAAGACACTTAACCCCACTTTGCCTATAAGGAGAGCGGAAGTGCTGTTCGCTGCTTGCCTTGATGTGTATGTGTATGCATCAAACTGAAATTTCCCCATCGTAGGACGAATAAAGGACCTTCTTCTTCTTCTAAATGACTTGAACTGTCGATTAGTATTTATTGTACTGTATGTATGATCATCTGGGGTACATATCATGTTTGACCCTACAGAAATCCTCTTATAAAAGTAAAATGTGACCAAATCAGACCACATAATGCTGTCTTCATCTTAATTGAAAACATGTTTCTTTCACATACTCAGAGCTGATTGGCTGAGAGAGAGGGATGACACTCATTTCACTAGAAAAGCTGAAAATATACATGCGAAAACTAGAGACTGAACCAAACCATTTTGAGAGCAAGTGACATGGATTATATTGCATTGTTAATTTTCTGTAGTTCGAAAGTTAGATTCTAGACCTGTAAGTCATCTGCCGTAATGCTGCGTTTCTTTACAACCTTCAGTCTAGTGCATTTAAAGCCACTATAGTTGGAACACTGCTTCATGAGAGTTGCCTCTGTCCATCCAGGGTCAGTGTTCGCCCTCCTCTCAAACCTCTCATGAAATATCTACGTGGGGCTTGCTCCATATTTTAATGGAGAGTGGGACATCCAGGAGTGATAGTAGAGGGGCTATCTCTGGAGACGCTCCCAAAGAACGGTGGTCTGTGCTTCTCAAGGCTTTTTCTTTTGTTCATTTTTTTTGGCCTGGTGAAATAAAAGAGGAAAGAGATTATTCTCCTTTGGAATGTGGATTCTGGGGCACACAGGCCCAGGAGTCAGTCAATCTAGCCAGTTTGTGAAGCGGGGTGGGGGTCCGGTGAGGGCTGATTAGACGGATGCTCTCCCATCATCCTTCTCGACAGGCTGGCGAAAATTGGCTAGCCCCTCGTAGGGTAGAGTTCACGGGGGGAAGCCTGGCGGGGGGAGGCGCGGTGCAGTGGATACCTGTCACAGCCTTTGGTCTGTTTCAGGATCGCAGCAGCAAATTAATAAAATATCCTTCCTGCTTTCCTTTACCTGGCGTGGCAGCTATACCTCTCGCTGCCTGCTCTCCCCAGCCTGCTCCGGCCTTTGACCCAGTCCACTACTGAGAGAGATGAGGGGGTCCGGGCAGCGGCGAGCGCGGGCCAAGAGTGTCAGCCAGAAAATAGGGAGAAAGTCTCAAAGTCCACAAGAGGCGGCGAGAAGAGAGGAGGCTCCCCCGCTCGCGTCTCGCTGCGGGTAAGACAGCTCCACTTCACACAGACTGACAAACAAGCGGCCTGTGTCAGGGAGACATTTTCCAATAGTGATGCATGGGAAACAAACAACAAACTCAACATCAAGTCCAACAAGACGACTCTAACTGCGGACGAGGTGAGGCTGAACTTGCAACTTTTGGAGTTTGGACGTCAAGACATTGAGTCGAGTTTAATATTTACAACAACTGACACTGCTACTAAAACAACAAAAATAATTTCAACTTCTAACTAGACAAATACAGACTACAGAACTCTCTCAGTAGGGCTGGTACTGGATAATATCATCAATATTTAGAATTTTCAATATCAATATTGTCCTGAGACATCGAAAAGAGAATTCTTGGCAGAGTTTAGTTTTTCCTCACTTTCTTACACACTATTTCTCCTAACTATTTACCACGATGAGTTTATAAGTCCATAATTCACATGCTCAACCCAATAGAATCCCCAAGCGATGATCCTGACAGGATGCCCCAGTTGCATTGAATAATGGGTCAAATGCTGAGAATACATTTCTGTCACAAGAGTTCAATAAAGTATGCCATAATCTTAACCTTACTAAATTTAGTGAAAGCATGTCACCAAGTGCAATGTTCGAAAGAGGGCCAACTTTTGAAACAAGTAACCTTTTTTACTTAAAACTGTCACTCCTCATCTGACTAAAATTGACAAGAGAGAATCTTCCTTTCAAAAAACAAAAACAAAAGCATGAATGATTTGAAATGAGTAGTAGCATGGTATACTCTGTGTGTCTTTATTCTCTAGTGCAGCCATTCCCAAACTCAGTAACACCGAGGCCCCCTTAAAAATCTGACGGGTCTGCGTGGCCCCCCAAAATAATAACCAAGAAGACAACATTAAGAATAGGCTCTTCTGGTTATTTTATTTTTGGGGAAATAGCCTCTGCTACTGTAATACAAAAATGATTACAGTGGATTATTCAAGTCAAATAATGAACACAAATATTTTAATAGCACAAACAAAACATTATAAATTTAACATGAAATAATTATATTTTATTTTTATTTTTTTTATGACCTCCCGCGGCCCCCCTGCAGTACCCTCGCGGCCCACCAGGGGGCCGCGGACCCCACTTTGGGAGACACTGCTCTAGTGGGACTCCCTCGAAAAGTGGCATGTGCTGATCTTCCCTATCCGCTCTCCAATCTTCTGCCATAGGTCTTTCATGTTGCACTCTTCTCACGGTGCTATGTAAAACAATATAATCATGCATGAAAAGGCACCTCGAGGGGCATGCAGAGATCACTTCATTCCCCAAAATGTCAAAGCTACAGAAAAAGTCAGCAAACATCCTCGGGATATTTGAGATTGTTTATCTGCTTGTGTGTGCGCATAGAACCAGGCTGGTGAGAGATGTGAGATGAAAATGTGATCAACAGAAGGCCTTGGTGTGAATGAAAATCTGCCTTGTTGATGTGTTAAATAACCTTCTATTTGGTAGGACGTGTTTTATTCATGGCGGTGGAGCTCAGATGACCAGGAGATAATGATCGGGCTCACCTTCCTCCTGGCACACACGTGCCTCTCTGTTTACGCCGGGAATCTCAATTTGAAAATGGCGGACAATCGATAGCCCTGGATGTTGCAGCTCATAACCTCTGGCTAGCTGCTAATACGGAGCACGGCTAATGCACATAAATGAGCTGCTAATGAGTCTGTTTCATATGTAGCATTCACAAGTCATTTTGATAAATGTTTACAATGAGAAATGTAGTGTTTGAATTGCTCAAAGTTATATGAAATAGTTCTGAGCTGTATAAAATTAACTATTGTTTTTGCAATAAAAGGCTAAAGCTAACTCCTCATTAAAACTGCTTTTGAGCACTGGACAGGTATTAAGAATGACTGCATTTGAAAATACAGGTATTTATAGGCGAGTAGTTATACCAGGAGTATGTAATGTATTTTAACAAGAAAATTATCAACTGAATTACACCCAGCTTTTCCCTGTGACAGGCAGATGATGGACTCTACACCAGAAAATGCAGCGATAACGCAGTATTTCTGTATAGATGATTACAAGTGCAAGAAGTTCTGCAGTGAGCTTCGCTAGAACACACTGAGCAATCTTGTACATTGAAGACTCGACTGATCACTGTCAAAATTACGACCAATCTTCAGCATGGACTGAGTAATCTGATTTAACACGGCACTCACACTGTACTATTATTTAGATTTTCTTTCAAAGGAAGGGGAGCTTTGGATATGAGAAGAGTGCCATGTGTATGAGCAGAATCCCCCAAACAAAACAGAGCTGCTCGAAAACACCACCACAGTGAAATAATATAATAAGGTCTGTTTCATTTTTTCATGCTCTCCAAGGACCGTGCAGAGAGATTGCTAGAAAATGGATTATCTCTAACATTGCGAGTTCATAAGTCCAACTACTAACTTTGTTGAAGGGCAGATATGGCCTCCCCGGTGGGCTCGGCTCATATTTAGCCACGAGGACTCCTGTGTGATTAGAAAACGAGATGCAGACGTATTGACTTGGTCTGTATTTTTGCCTCTGCGATGTGCGCAATTACCTCTTCAAAAACCAGCATTCGGCTAATCCGGCTAATTCCAGATATTTTAGCGCTCTGCTGGTCTAATAAGCAAATCAAATCATATCTTGCTCATCACAAATGAGTTTTGGAAATAATTCCTTCTGAGTCAAACCGCCGCGCACCCTCACTCCCTTTTCCCAATTGAGATGGTAGAGGGCTACTTTGTAAAGCTGTCATGTGTGATTAGAAATGTAGCACTTCTAGCTCGTGGCTATTTGTATGCATGTATTTATGTGTCGGCTTACCTGTAGCTCTGTCTGGAAAAAGAACTTTTGTGGGCAGTGCGAGCAGTCGTAGATCTTGTCCTCTTGACCGTGTGCGGAGAAGATGTGCTGCTGTAGCTTGTTGGCTTGGACAAACACTGTAAATAAACACAACATAATATATCAATGTATTGTGTAATACTCCACATTATGTAGCATCGTGGCTAAATTAGCAAAGAGTCCATTAAAGGTGCACTCCTCCACTGACCTGGTTGCTTGGATCCAACTAGATGTTACTGTTTTGTTTCTGGATATTTAACTTAAAAATGTTCTTTTATCCATTGGCTACAAGCATGTGACTTAACTTGGCTAAGTTACAAGTTCAATCTGTGGAGAGGCGAGTCTTGAAAACATAATATAAATCTCTGGGTTTAATTTTCCACTGAATTTATTTGATCATTTATTAAAATCAAAGAACTCTGCAGACACAGCCAGACAGTTATAAAGAACGTAATTTTTTCTGAGAAATTGCCAAAATCAATTTAGAGGCAATGCTTTTGTTTTAAAAGGTAGAAAACGGCTCTAAACGTGATCATTATTGAGGATCAATCTATTAACAACTCCCGGTCTGTTTTTGATGTGGAATAAAAAATAAAATAAAAAGTTTAATAAAGCTTAAGAAGATGATTTTTTAATATATTATATATTGGAGAACAAGGGCAACATCATCATATTGCATCTGTCTGTTAATTTTGAATCAGCCATCAAGAACAACTGAAACTGCTGTTATTAGAAATATCAATGGAAACGAAACTGTACATATTCATATATCTATCAAGGGCAAATTGAAGTGGAGTGGTCACACTAATGGCATCACATACATAATGTTTGGGGAATAATGATGTGCTTTATTTAGCACTACTTTAGGGACAACGAGCAGGAAAATAAACAAGCACAAAAAGGAGGAAAAAAACTGGCATGGCTTCAAGTGCAAAACATGGCCTCCATTAGTCTACATTGCTAATTATATTGACAATATAAATATTCATAGTGCTGTGCTACTTATTCATGCAAGCTCCAGATTACATATTTGGTACGAAAACACACAACTGGTTGCCACTTAAAAACATATACCATCGTACATTTGTGCTTTAATTAAGTAAGGCACGGTCAACACTAAGGAGAAGCTCGGGGACGTGCAATTGTGAGTCTGTTCTCCGAGGAGCACTTCAAACACACCAGTTGTTATCCCGGACCCTTGCGCTTTATGAGGACTTGCCTGTCTAGTCTCAAAAGGTCTGTGGAGGGAAAAAAAGTTAGCATGTGAGGGGCCTTCATTTGAATTTCTTATGGCTCAAAATAACTTTTCTTCTAATGCGAGCGCCGTGGGGCCGAGAGGAGAGGGGGAGAGAGAGACAAGGCGCAGCGGCGGAAAAGGTGAGGAGGGAAGAAGGCTTCGGGGTCGCTGGGGTTTGGGAACATTAGCGTGTCCCATTTTGAGCTCACCTGGGACAGCGGTTATTAATTATTGAGCCGTGCGCAAGGGAGACGCAGCGGGCTTCAGTGAATGTCACACGCCTGACCTGGGAAATAAAAGACTACTAATGCCTCAGTGACGGCAGCCTCGCAACATCAGAGGGGACACACTGCTTTGATTCAAGATTCATACGGCAAACTAGGGTAGACATTAGTGAAGTCAGATCACTACAGTAATGCCTAGACTTGATACTCGATAACCAAATACCACTGTTATGGTTTGCTAAAGCTGTCCTTTATAACAGAAGTAAAGTTTTGCCCTGGTTTTTCTAATACAGTTCAAAATTATTAACAGATTTTTACAATATTGATAGTTGCTCAAATGAGTAGAGTTTTAGGATCGATTTATATCAAATAATTTTCACAAGGCTAGTGGGCACAGGACCTGACAAAAAGTGCAATAAACAAACATCTACCTCAATAGTAAACCACACAGATATTTAACACATAATGAGGCAATGTCAAAGTTTATTTCAAAGTCCAAATTGGAAGAATTCAAAGGAATGAACAACCGTACATTGAGAATTAGTAGTAGCTCAATAGTAGTGGTATATTATAGTAGTTGTATTGGTCGTGGTAGGAGTAGTAGTAGTAGTAGCGGCAGCATTTGTAGTGATACAAGTTTTATTACAAGCTGAATTTGCAGTATGAATAGCCAAGTAGAAATGGTAGTAGTAAAAGGCAAGTAGTATGGATTCCTTTAGTATCCTATAGAACAGGATGGTGGAACAGGATGTTGTGACCATCAAACCAAGGTTAAAGCAGTTTTCCCGAATCCATCCCATTAAAACTATTCCACATTTCCAACTGGATCACCCCTGACTGACCAATCATAACCATTCCACTTATTTGCACTCTCCGTGTTCAACAACTGGCTGCAGATCGCTAATGCCTGGGTGACATCTGCCTCTGGAACCGGGCCGCATGCTAACGTGCCGCTAACAAACCTCCACTAATGAACAAACAACTCTACAGTCCATTTCTGTAACAAATGACAGTCAATAACCACGCCTGAATGGCCTTTTGTACGGCAATGCTAAACTGTTATGTTCAAGGTTACTGCCAGAGCAATAATGCACATTCACGACAACAATTTACAGTTTTTCCCCCCCTTCCATGTGTTTGTGAAAATATACAGTAACAGAAAGCAGGTCACGGTTGCCCGTAGGAAGCCTTCATTATGTCTTTGGCGAGAGAAGGGAAAAGTCAATACAGCAAAAATAAAAATGGATCCGAGACTTAGGGGGCCGTCAAATGCAGTACAATGGGGCTAAACACAAGTGAGATGTCAGGCTTGCTGCATCTGCCTGTTTACACCACATCCACTGCCAGTAAGGGACAAGCCTAATCATCTATGCACTCACAAAATACATTTACAATTGAATGTGAGATTACTGTATATCGAACGGTGGTGGAGAATATAAAGAGCCGGTAGAATACGCTAAAGCCCAATGGACTGGCTGCAGTCTCACTTCGACGTGTATGTTTGATTCAAATCTTGCAAATGTTGTGGAATTTGGTAAAGGTTATGCATATTAAATGTATGTTTTAGAGAAAATGAGTATGTGGCCTTCAGTGCAGTGTGGGTGCCATATAGAAGCAGCTCTGTGTGAAAAACAGGTTGACCCTTTTTTGTGTGTGTAACATTATTCTGTGAGTATCAAACTTCACTGTTTCTTAAGTAGCTAAGGAAGAGCAGTGAACGCTAGTTGGCCTCGCTCGTCAGCCGTGGTGGATAAAAGCGTTCTCCTTGGCTTCCTCGTTTTGTAGCGTCATGGGTGTAGTTGTTCACTTTGCTCCCCCTACAATCTTTCCCAGTAATCCCTCTTTAAAACACCAATGATTCCAATTCAGCAGCCTTCAAACTAGCACTTGCTTAAGTAGGTTGGTGCCTCTACAAATAGCATCTTTCCTCTTTGAAAATAGTCATTCAAACATCACACGTTCACAAAGATCACTTCCATTACTCTGGACAAAAAATGACTTTGTACTGGTTCGGTAGCTTTTTTATACTAAATACATCAAATTATCTTGACTAATTGTACAATTCCTAATAGGATTGTCAACAATGTTTAAAATCTTCATTTTGAACAATATCAGTGTGGTACATTTTTTAGTATTAAGTATTTCCTTCCATTGAAATCGGATTTGAAATGTTGTATTGTGACAATAGACTACATACGTACATTGAGGTATTTCCATGACTTTTAGTTGGAAACCACAACTTGTCTTGTCTAAATCTCCACAGGGGTCTCCAACTCCCCCCCAACCCCCAGGAAAGCTACCAATGTTTATGCCAACACTGAGGTCAGACATTCTGTGATGTTTCCCTGGATTTTGTTTAGTAAGCCTGCACCATGTAATGAAGAGACAGTGGTCTGGCATGTGGTGAGAAGGCTGCCTTGGCGTCACCCCTTAAGCCACAAGAACAGAGGTATGCCTTGGGTTTGAATGAGGACAAACACACTGAAGGAACAATCCAAAAAAAGGCAGTTCAAAACAGGATCAGTGGCCAGTTATTGAGAGTGGACAGGGATGTGTGTGTGTGTGTGTGAGAAGTTAGCAGAGTTTGTTGGCTAGCTTGAGTTGGTTGTCGGGGGCGTCAGAGCCGTGGGAGCTGGAGTGGGGGCTGGGGGGCCAAGGTCTCCTCGCTGTGGGGGATATTAAGGCCTCTGATTAGCTCTCCGGGGCCGGCTGTGGCAGACATCTCCTTTACTACGAGCCCCAGCTCATCTTTATTTTGGCAGGGTGGTGCTCTCTGCAGGCTGCACACTGCACCAATACTAAGCTGTTTGTGCATGGAGGAGGAAAAAAAAAAGCCTTTCTCTCCTCATTCCTTTTTATTTATTCATTTGTTAAGTGAAATTGTGCAGAGAACCAGGCCAGAAGCTGAAAACTGTAAATGCAATCCAGCAGCAGTGTTGAGGGCCACTATATAAGGACCACTATCTTATGAGGGGGAAGAATATAGAAACTTAAACTTGTTTTTCTGTTATGACAATCTCAGGCTGGATACAAGTCTGATGTTTTTCAAAGTGAAGTTCAGTTCAATCCCATTTTTTGCCCTAAATCACAATAGTAGTTATCTCGGAGGACATTAGAAAGTTGCCAATTTGCCAACACAGATCAGATTACAGGACAGTTCAAACAGGAAAAGCAATGATTAAAAAAAAAACACAGAGCAATTGAACCATAAGGGGCAGATGACCAATGTCCATAAATGTTAATCCATACGCCATAAACTTATTATATTGTAAATTTCTCCATTGTTGAGATCAATAAGTTCTATCTTATTGTATTATAGCTAGAAAATACAAGATACATGTTTTTGTCTTTTTTAATGTAAATTGTAATTCAGAAAACATTTAACTGACACATCCATTCCGTTTTTGTGGCTTCATTTGGAAAGTGAACATGTGAAAAGGAACATGAAAGGTTTCCTCCTTGAGAGCTCGGGTCCATGTGTGGGACGGTCCTTTAAGGATCACCCTCCCTGTACAGGGAGGATTCAGTTATTTTTCATTTAACAGCATCAGTTTTAGAATTCACTTGTGTCAATATAGTCAAGCTATATCTCTTTTGAAAGCTTATTCCCACCTCTATACACGTATTATGTTCAAAT